TCCTCCTCCTCCTCCTCCTCCTCCTCCTCCTCCTCCTCCTCCTCCTCCTCCTTACCTTGCTACTTTAAGCGTTCGCAGACTTTTGCGTAGTGAAGATGATTTAAATAGGATTTATTGGCTAATATTTTACAGCAATGGTCCGATACATCTGAATAGAGGTCTACAGTAAGCTCTCAGTGAGTTCCTCACACCACATTCTCGTAATAATGTCCGGGTCACCTCAAAGATCATTAAAAGGGCTGTGTCTGTTAGTGGCCGTTTACGAACAAATAGAAAGGCTGAAATACTGAGAGTATGATTGAAATAAACAAAAATCTGTGCCACTAGCATAAAGTTCAACTCACGAGAGATATTTATGGTACCAACCTTCCAAACACTCTAGGTGCGTTTAATGAATCTACATCAATTTGCGCGTGGCTCTTTACCTCTTCAGAGCTAACTAGGATTTTGCAAAGCTAGCAATGTGAGGGAATATGCTTAATTTCTTCTACCACTCGATGGATATAGAAACTTTTGCTGAAGGAGCGACTGGAAGCTGATCATCTAGTTTTAGACGAGGAAGTTTTTCCACGGTAATCAAGAAAAGTCATCTAAGTGCAGTCGTGATGGTTAAGGGAAGAGTGACGCCGATGTCCGGAGTAAATCCAGGTTCCTACAAATAAATCTTATTAATTTTATGGTTGTGTAACTTTACATGAGCTATACGATGCAATCTATGTCATTAGTCTTCTAGACCTACTAAATGTCTGATAGCTGAGCTTTGCTGCATCGCCGGAAGTTACTGCGTTGCTACAATTTATCGGAACGGCAAATATACACATTTTAGTTAAAAGCGTATCATGATGAAAAGCTTTCCCACTATATTTTTTCACTTCCTGATTTCAAAAACCACTTCGAATTACTTTACTCCACCCTCGTAGTATACACAACACAGCGGGCTGCTACGTGTAAAGGGTTCATCTGTTAAACACTCCTTGTAGATTCGAAAAACAAATGTTTCTTTTGCTATTTAAGTATGTAGATTTCGATTTGCAAAATAACGAGTACTTAACTAACACTTAAATTCACTACCACGTGACCACAAGAGTGCTGTTTTTTTTCTCTCGTAGCAATTAATAGACCGGACTTTTGCCCAAAAAAGAGATAAGAAAAACATATCGCTACTGCCACTACTGACATTTGCAAACAAATGTAAGGGATCACAGAAACTAACAAATTCATTTGCTATTAGAAAGCCTGCAGGGAGGCAAGGAGGAGGAAACTGCGGGGAAAATGGACATCCCGTTGCTTACTGGCTGCGGTACGTGCCACCGTTTATGGTTCTCGAGAACGAAAAGTCCTAGCATTTGCAATTTTAAAGATCTATATTCAATAACCTGGAGAAAGAACGTTTTTACACGTTTTTAATTTACTTTGGTGACAACATTTGATACGCTAAAGATAAACAAAATACCTGGCCAGCCAATCAAAGGCCTGGCTTAATCTACATCGTCGACGTCACTTCCTTTTAGTAGCATCTTTCTAATAAATTGAGTCGCACAAAGTTGCACTTGTAACCCATTACTCGGATTTTAAGGATTTTCCGTAAAATGTAACGAGAGAGACAGATGCTAGAGCGCATTCATACACCTGGTGATAATATTCAACTTTGCAGGCATCGGTCGTCCAAGGAACGAACTCACCAATCAAACGTCATTCTGGCAGTTTATTCGGAGTGCAATTGTCAACCAAGGGATTTTCAGCATTTACCTAGCCTTCAACTCAAATTACTTCTAGATTTAAGCAAGAAAACACCCTGAAACTCATCGACGTGAGAATGCTTCTTTGATGAATCCGTTGACTGGTTGAAAACGATCACCACAAAAGCAATCCATTGTAAAGACACTTGCGGCATCGGAAGACGCCAAATCACAGAGGGACGTAATAAAGCTGGCGTAATGAGACAAACCCCATGCTTTTCAAGACTTTATTTACCCTGATTTACCCAATCTGACTTAGTAAGGGGGGCTGCACAAAAGATCAGACGCTTGCACGACAGCTAATCAGAGGCAACAAATTGCATCACCGACCGACCAACCGGGGAAAAAAGACCCCTCAACCAGAGTAACATCGATCTAGTGAGGGCACCACCAGCCGAGACGACCAACAATTAACCGCGTCAGCACCCAAAGCCACCCCGCAGACTAGATTGGGACAAGCTCACCCCCCCCTTCCCCCAAACAACAACGACAGAAGGACGAGGAAAAAACACTGAGAAGAAAGCATTCGATTATTCTTATACCAGATGAAATGTTATATCATTAAGATGGGTTGACAATGCACTTGTGGGATTGAAGAGTCTCAGCACAGCTGACAAACAATGAAGCTGAAAAAATTAAGAAAATGAGGTCAAAAAAGACACAAGAGGGGAGGGACACTCTGGGAGAGATAGAGAGGAGTAAACAGGAACGCAAGAATGACAATCACTCCGTGAAGTTTACCTTCCTCGCCAGTCCGTCGACGGAATATGTTGACAAGGAAGAAGGAAGACAAAGCGGAAGAGGGGCGTCAGGGAGAGGAAAGGAGAGGAGGGGGAAAGGAGATCGGCCAATGAGTAAGTGCCCACGGGAAGAATGAGAAAAGGACTACCAAAACATACAAAACCGTTTTACCTAGTGTGCGCGTTTGACTGTGTGCGACGAATTAAATGCGAAACGCCAAGACAATGATTGTCATGTTTGCTTTTTTCGTGTAAATCTGTCTGCGTGTGCGTATATGCGTGTACGAGAGACACTACTGATTACGGTAAAATCTCTCGAATTCGTTCTTTTTTCCATGAGAGCAAGAGACAAAGTGGGACGAGGCAGTGAGGTTAATGCAATGTAACCAAGGTGGAGGAAGAGGAAGAAAGCAAGGCAAATTTCGTGAGATATTGCTCTCCCGAAAGACAAGCAGTTACAAAAAATGGCGTCGACAAGGATGAGGATTCATATGATGTCGGAGCCAAAAATGAGGCGGGAAAACAAGGAGACATGCAGATGAGTGCACATGCATTTCAAAAGGAACGTATCACCCCAGTTGAAATCGCACATCGCACACCAGCGCAGACTGAGGAAAGGAAGATTGAGTAGGATGGGGGCAAGAGAAACGCACACACGCACACGCAAGAAGGCGTAGAGAATGCGAGGAAATATGAGATCATTGGTGGGAATCTAGAGCGTATCACACGTCCTTTTGCCTTTTCGCTTTGTGTACAGGGCCGCCCTAGCTGCTGTCTCAAAGACCTCTCGTACACCCTCCTTTGTCTTGGCAGAACATTCCAGGTAGGCATAAGCATCTAGAATCCACAACTTTTTTATTATCATAACATTCAATGGCCTGAGAACGACCAAAATCAACACTTACTTAGCTTCTCAGCCATCAATCTGCAATTTTCCGGCTGCACGATCTCTTGCCGCATTTTCGTAAGGCCATGAATAGCAACATCATCATCACGAAGATCACGTTTGTTCCCAACCACCAAAATGGGGACATTTGGGCAGAAGTGCTTTACCTCGGGGCACCACTTCTCGGCAAGATTTTCCAAGCTGTCCGTGCTAAAAGTCAGTATCACTTCCAGTAGCTTGATAAATAATTCAACGGGTAATCGATTAGCCGAATTAGAGGAAACTGTGATAGTGCCAGCGACAAATTATGGGAATTGAATAGCAATCCCAGGCTACGAAGGATTTGCTAGGGCGGCAAAACAAATACGCGCTGGTTAGAAAACTTGCCTAGATGATCAGAACATTTGAAATCTGTAAAGGAAGTAGATAATTTAGAAAGATAAGCACCCTGAAAAAAGCCATAAAATGCAGCCGCAATTTTCTGGTCAAAGCAAAAGCATATATGGGTGAATCTCACTCCATAAAATCCTCTCTCAAGTAAAACGGGGAGATATGATATACTCGCTAACCTGTCGATGGAAAAGCACATCAAGATAACGTCGGTGTCGGGGTAAGATAAGGGCCGAAGACGATCATAATCCTCCTGTCCGGCTGTATCCCACAGAGCGAGCTCTACGTGCTTGCCATCAACCTCGATGTCAGCGACGTAATTTTCGAAGACGGTGGGTACATAGACCTCAGGGAACTGATCTTTGCTGAAAACGATGAGAAGACACGTCTTTCCGCAAGCGCCATCCCCAACTATCACTAATTTCTTGCGAATAGTAGCCATTTACAAGGGGGAAACCTATACAGCTCGTCAGACTCAGAGAAGCCGCCCACCCGGGAATGGCTACGTGAAGAAACAATTATTTAATGTAAGAAATTTATCATTGAGTTATTATTCCAGAAAATTTTCAGGTGTATTTTGCTACACAATTAAAAAATCTTTATGCTAGCGAATATTTTAGTTTGCCTAAATTAGAGCATAAAAGTGCTACCACTTCCTTAGTTATCGTTAATATGCATTTCGAAAAATTTATTCAATTTCAATTGCCTTTTATAAAATTTTTTTAGTAATTTATGGGTCCATTTAAAGGTTCCCCAAAACTTTCTCACGACGTATATGAATTTATCTACATATTCTTCTTACTCTGCACCAATTAAGAAATTATTGGTGACGACTTGCGCCTCCCCTGAAGTCACAAAAAAAGGCATAGTATTGAAAGAAGGTGCGTACCTTTGACATACTAAAGTGCTGATTTGCTAAAAATTCGCTGAATTCAATTTGCAGATTCCTAAGTGTACGCATAAAAAACTGCATCGTTAAACAAATTATTCACGCCTCACATTACCCATTTTTTTGAAGTTTGAACCTATTATTACTTTTATTTAAAGAATAGCAGAAGCCACCACAACACAATTGCTTCCTTGAGAAAAATTCCCTCTAAGCAACCATGACAGCCATCGAATCTGCATAGAAAATGAAAAACATTGACTGCAATATCACCTGTTTCTTTTGATAATTTCCCCAGATCTGTAGTTTTGCTCTGTTAGTGTTCTGCACTATACTGACCACCTCATGTGTATATCGCTAATCGGAAGGTCACTGGTTTAAAAGCTTGAGAAAAGTATTAGGAACCACTAAATAATGGGAACACTTGTGTGAAAATCTTAAGCTAAGAAAAAATGAAAATGAGAACACTAAATACATAAGCCTTAACATTCCTCTTCCACTTTTGATTATCATTTGTCTTCCTATAGGAGAAAGAGTAAGTGTGGCGTCACGAGACTCCCTGAAGACGAAAGAAGACACAATACTCGGGAAGAACACATATATTCACCACGGAGAAGGTGTCTGGGCTATTGGCATGGCTTACAAAGGCCAGCCCACCCAGCGAGGTACAAGGGAGCTAATTTGAAGTAAAAAAGTGGCGCCTCACCAGAACCGAGGGATAAACCACTATTGTAGTACATAAGAATCCATTTAAATTGACGTTACTTTAAATCATGAAACACTTTTAAAAACGGCTACCATGAAAAATTGGGCACTGAAGAATACTGTAGAATAATTCTTAGTATTTCCCACGTGTGCCACTTCGTGACATTATTTTGATAAGACGCACGATATTAGAAAACCCACCACATGAACCCACAGCTGGTAAAATAAACAGCATCCCTTTGACAAAAGAACTTTTAAATGTCTTTGTTTTTGTCACATTGTTTACTGATGTTCAAAAAAGAATTAAGCAAGTCGAAACAGACAAGTGACTAAGTAGTTCAAGAGGATAACTCTCTAAGAGCGTAGATGATTATTCAATAAAACGGCATGTGCTATGATAAAATGTGGGTCTTACATGGCTGTGTTTTGGTTATAATCATGGCCTCGTGCCGTTCAGTTTATCTCCATCTCATGTCAGTGCTTATCTATGCTTATTGGCGTACCTAAAGGTAACTGGAGGGGCCAAGATACCATCTTGCCTTAAAAATACACCTATTGTCAATAAAACTTGCCTTTCCTTCATTTCTCACTGTAGCAAGCGCTTGGGAGACTGAAGTCATTAGGCAACAACCGAGTCCATCCAACATTTTTCTACTAGACTATTGACGCTCTTAATTTGGTGCAGTTATCAATCTCTTCATCACTAGCCGATTTCGACATCATACCAATTAAATTTCGCAACTTTTAAGAGAATAAGCGAAGTATTTTCATGTGATAGAAGGTTAAAAGTGTTGCTGCCTTCTTATGCCCAGAGCAGTAGGATTTTAAGAAGGACTTCTCACTTGAATGTAGGTCACTTGTTCTAATTTATACGCATGGTGGCTTTTGCATATCGCAAGTTCTCTTTTTGAATGTAAGAGGGTCAACTGCTTAATCTGGAAAAAAATGCCTGATTTCAAACAGAACAGGTGGCTATATTTCTAACTTCTCACGAAAACATCAAGTGAAGCTCAACAGGGAACGCTAACTAAGCAACACCATCCATTTTCAATTAAATCATTTTCCATCTTGTTGGAGTGTAATATGCAAGTGTCACAGCTAGAGAGTGGAAAATTATCTAAGAGAATGGATTGTTTTCGCAGCAGTACCTTTGATTAGACGAGTATTTTTTGCCTCTTGCGATTCAGCCTTGTGCCAGGAAGTACGGGGCTAAGTTATTGGTGATCTGCATCGTTTATGTGCTTAAAACAAAGCTAAATTGTAATTTGTGTGATCCACCTTGATGGCGACTTTGCTAAAATTGCCAGATGCCCTACCAAAATGGTGCACAAGAGAGGCGTCTAAGTTGGATGGTCGAACTACAGCAAAAGAAGGTGGGATATTAGAAATGGGGACCTTCTTCTGGAATTTCGACATTCTACAAAAATCCTTATAACCTACTGGGAATCGCTGAAAATGCGGCGTTAAAGACATCGTGGAAAGTAAAAGTTAGTCCTTGAAAAGCGTATTGTAATACAATGGTGGTTTACGCGTAATTTTTGTGAAGAGTGACTTTCGACTGACCATTGTGCCACGCCGGTTGGGCTGGCCTTCGAGCCATGCCAATGGCCCTGGTATCTTCTATAAGCCGTACGTATGTATTCATACTCTAACAAATATCATGTCTCCTTTCATCTTCAAGTAAGTCTCGGGGTGGTACGATACTAATAACTTTTTTGCTTGCATGCATCAAATATCTGTGTCGTTACTCTGCCATACATCCTATAGACTTTTAGTTTTGACAAAACCTTAAACGTCAACCTAAGCAAAAAGGCCTTAATAAAAAAGTAATTACTTGACCTTAAAAATATTTCTTTATAAATTTTAACATCATAATTTGAATCAATGCTTAGTTGATCCATATGTAGTGTCCCGAGACTTCCCTGAAGAGGAAAGAAGACAAAATACTCCAGCAGAATATATATATTCAACACAGAGAAGGTGTTTGTGCTACTGGCGTCTCACCAATACAGGGGGCTAAACCACCATCGTATTGCATAATGTATGGAGGTAAGCTTCATCGATTAATACAAATCTTCTTTTTTGGCAAAACAGTAGTTACACGACAAGACCTGTTTCAGGTACAAAATTAGTTATGTATATTTCGTTAAATGTTGGGATGGGAGCCTGGTTGGGAAATATTGTTTGCTAGAGTAAATCATTGAAAAAACATTTGTTAAAGTTTATGTATTTAGCTCCATTTCGTAGCCGTTCTTAGCTCGTGTTTGGTTTAGCGTTTTGTATGTTTTAACGTATTAGGGTGTTAGAACAAATAAAAGGCGAACTTTGAATTGACTTTATTTCCACGATAAGTGAGAATTAGCCTGGAAGCTTATGCGGTGGTGAGTCCCGCAAGCTGCATTTTGCTCCTACAGCAGTGCTTCTTCTTCTTTTAAATCTAGTGCGGTAGGGATTTGTTTAACCCATTTGCCTAATTAGGTTTGAAATGATTGAATATCTGTCACAAACTTTCTGGCCCACCATGTCACACTTATGGCCTTTTAACAATTTTTGTAATGATACGTACTAGCGATTTTTGCCTGTTACTACTGTTTTACTACCTTTTAAAGCTAGCATAAAGGCTAATTCTTGTAAATTTATCTTTGTAGTCTTATTTTGACTAAAATTAGATATCTTGCCCATAGAAGTTGTCTTCTAGAATGAGTTTGATTGACATTTTAGGTTTTATTGCGTAATTAAAAATGACTTGTTTTAAATGTATACCCATTTCAACTCTCCAGTCAATGCACAGAACATTGTTTTCGAAAATCTGATCCATACATTTAGCTACCTTTCTTCATTAGCTAAAGTTATTCAGTTCCAATTTGGACTAAGTATGTATTATTAGGTATGATCCACCAGTGTTCTTCGTATAATAAGGTATAAAACGGCCTAAAAACATGTTTTACTTCTAGCTTGCGAGAATATATTCAAAATGGGTAAGTCATGTCCAGCTGTACCTTTAACAACCACATGAAATCGTTTAATGTTGAATGATTCAAATACGCCCCTATGCCTCTATAAACGCAGATAGTTAATTCAAATCTGCATATCATTAACTTACAACCCGTATGAGATTATTTGCTCAGTTTATTTTACTAAATAAGGACATACCCAGTTTACCTTCCACAGGTATGGTTAACATCCCTTACACTTTGTGATTATAAAGGAAAAAAGTGTTTTGTTGTTGCTACCTACTAATATTTATTTTCTCATTTTCTGCCACCGGATTTAACAAGAAAGCAATGCTTAATATGTACAGAGCGTCAAGTGATTTACATCTCCCCAATCCTCATTCGTCAACGCACAAAATTACGGCTAATCCAGATAGGCGAAAAAAGTGCAATGTGAGGAAAGTTAGTCAGCATGACAACACAACTAAAACATTTTACTTCTATCACAAAAGTAAAACAAGAAAATTGATAATATTGTCGTTAAATAAGGGGGATATAACAAATTATTAAGACAGATTG